CGTGACAAGGAGTAGGGTCGCCTGTCCAACCTCGTGGGTATTCTCCGGGTCCTCCGGTTTCCCCCCCACTGCTAAAGACCCCTACGCGCAAGCGAATTATAGAAATAAAATTAAACCATATGTTAGTCCCGAAATGACATAGTTTGTGTCGAGTGGACTTTATACCCCATTTCTCTCTCTCTCTCTCTCTCTCTCACACATGTTCTGTGATATTTTATTGTTTTTCTTTTTTATGTTGTACCACCTATTGAGATCTATGTTGAAGGAATTGGCGGTAAATAATAAATATTATTATTATTTATTATATTCAATATACTAATTTTATTAAAGGCTGTTTTGACAAAGCTGCGTCCGTTTTGAGTAAACAGTTATTCCACTTTGACAAAACAGTGTGTCCGTTTTGGCAAAACACAATTAGGACGTTTAGGTTTAAAAAATGTTCGTCTATACTACATGTGTATAACCCTTTTAATATACCATCTTGAACTTTCGCTGACCTTCTTTTCGATGGGTCGCGATTGCATCAAGATCTGGAAATTACCTGTTGTTGGTATTATATCGTTGAAGTCTCATTAAGACTGATTAATACTTGAAAATCGAGACTCGGGATTTGGTAGCCTCGTACATTGACAAGCATGAAAGACACCGGTATGTCTTGGATACGGCTTTTAATTGGACACATGTATGGTTTGCATACGACTATGTTTTGTATTGGACACAGGTATATTTTAGTTTGGACACAGGTATGTGTTTGACGCCGGCATGTTTTGAATACCTGTATGTTTTAGATTTGATACAGCGACAGTCGGTGAATAATCACCGGATTGGATTAATTACACAAACAGCAACAAACAATACAAGGCTATTTAATGGCGGTAATAATACAGAGAGAACCGGAAGAACACAACATCACGTGGTTAACTGACCACAGGGACTTGTAAGATAAATAACATAGGAGTTCGTACTAAGCCTAGTACTAATGACTATGGCGCAGGTATATTTTGGTTCAACTAGGTTGTAATTTTGAAGTTACAGTCTTGTGTGTATCTGAAAGAGTTAGATTTAAAAATGTGCTCGTGACTTGAAGTCTCAGTTGGTCCACCACCTCATTTTTTTATTATCTATTTATCTACCGGTCGAGAGGGGTGGGGAAAGGGGAAGAGGGGTGGGGATAGGGGGAGACGGATAGGCATAGGGATATTCCGAGAATAGATAATAACGATGACAGTAAAATGCATGTAACCGCCAAGCGTTCTTTTACGTGCACACCAATGTGTACATGGATAGAACTGGGGTTTTCGTCCCAATCTAACAACTAGACACAAATGACATAAATATGTTCATTTGATTAACAGCGTAAATCATATTTAAATTATTAGACTATTATCCCAAATGTAATATTTTACGTTTTGTGCATATATAGTTGACAACGTGTACATTGTGTGAATACGGTTAGGAGGTATCTGTCTGAATAGAAATGCAAAAGGGGTTTAACGTCCTACTGCTCTGCTCCGAGTGGGCTAATGCCGACGGAGGGTTGGGTGGCCGAATGGTTAGCGCGTGCGCGTTGTATTATAAGGTCTTGAGTCAACTGGCGTGAAAAGGAGTAGGGTCGCATGTCCAAACACGTGGGCTTCCTCTCACTGCTAAAGTCCCATACGCGAAAGCGAATTATTGAAATAAAAGTGAACCACATGTTAGTCCCGAAATGACCTAATTTGTGTCGCGTGGACGTTAAACTCCATTTCTCTTTCTCTCTCGCTAATGACGAAAGCAGTCTGAATAGACAATAATTATAGTGCCAAAAGTAACGACTTAACCTAATCGGGGTTGTTCTTTCTTTTTCAAACACGAGAACCAGAAAGAGAGTAAAGTGAAGGGGGGGGGGTGACTAAATGAAATGAAATAGGTTTTAAACGTCCTACTTTTCTCCAATAAAGTCGGACATACATTATGTAATGTGCTATGGGGAGATTTTGCCAGGACAACACTGTGTCCGCCTGCTCTTCGTCCAATTCCCACTGCCGATTCGTTTGTTTTTTTTTTGCACCATTCAAACGACTAGTCAAGGTTTCTTACCAGCCCCCCCCCCCTTCCCCGATGTTACACCGTTGAGAAGCAGCAGCTTGGTTGGAAAATCAACAACAGGATCGAACCCGAGAATATTGAGCCAATGCCTTCCTCACTGAACCACTGTGGCTCCAGTGCGGAAACGACCAAGTACTTACGATCTCCTACATATATCTGTGCAATCTGTTTCACAGAGATTTTTTAATATCTCTGTTACATATGACTGTTTCGACACGTGACGTCACATCACGCGGCGTCCATCATTGGCTCAATAGCGCGTGCATTGTTTACATAAGACGTCACGGATTCGGGCTAAATGGTGAATTTTACTTATTTTAATACCCATTTACACTAAATAGGAAATGATTTTACCTACAAACAATTCAAACAACTTTATTTATTTTTCTAATAAATGAAAAAAATGTTTCAGAATTTAATTTGTCGAAAGAAAAAAGTTAATATTTTGTAGTCATTAAGTCGCATCGATGTCATCCTTACGTAGCGGCCAAGCGAATATTCACTGCGGATCAGTGTGATATCTGTGTTGTATTTTGAATGAGTGACTTTAACTTGTTAATTAAGTACAACACATAGCTTGCATTCACTAATCAAGTGCAGCCACTTCCTGTCATGTGTTACTGCTATGATGTCACAATAAAGTTGTCTTCACACATAATATGAATGAGAGAGTTGGTCTCTTCTTCATCCATTGGAAACGCTAACAATGTTTGCCATCCATGCAAAAGTATAACAAACTGATCATGGAGTTAGCATCAAAAGAACCAGTTAGTAGGACCAGACGAGATGACGTTATAAATTAAATCTCCTGATGCGAGCCTACGAACAACAAAAAGAGAGAAAATTGGGTTTAAATTCCACTCGACACAAGCTAAGTCATTTTGGGACTAACAAGCGGTTCAATTTTATTTCAATAATTTGCTTGCGCGTAACGGTCTCTAGCAGTCGGAGGAAATCTGAAGAGAAAGCACAAGCGGTAATACCTGTCAATTACAATGTATGTGGAGAGGGCATCGGTAAGTTTTCGTAACTTTTGTCCCAATCCTTTTGTACTTTATTTATGTTCTATAGTACAATAAACTATGTTTAAACAAACAAAATACCCCCGTCAGACCGGGGTGGCGTCCTTACTGCGCGGCTACGGCGATGGAAATTGGTTTTAGAGCGCGTCAAGATCGCCATAAGCGTAGTAGAAACGCCAGCTATCGCGCTATGGTCTCCATGGTCGCCAATGACCGCCGAGTCACGGCGTTTGTTTTTAGCATGTTCACAACAAACGTCAAGGTTCTACGATCTGAACTGGAAAACTATGAGAATGCAAATTTTTTTCAAGTTTGTAATTTTTTTTTACATTTTCTTGTGTTGTGTTCACGTTTGCCGGCGACCTTGTGCATTTTCTGGTCGCCGTACGGTCGCAGCTGCGCAGTAAGGACGCCACGTCGGTCTGGCGGGGACATAATTTAATCGTAACCACGCCACCTGACTCAATGACGCGTTAACCCTTTCGTGTAATAAATTGTTCTAACATACTTTATTTTAGAAGCATGCAGTTAATCAAATTGATTATAACTGTCATAGCTACGTGACAATGTGCACAATGTGCTACTGCGCTGTCTTTAATGACACCAGTGTATATACTATGTCCTTCTGGAATTTGGAGGTTTGGGTGGGCGTGCACGTTACATCATAACGACCTAGTACTGGTAGATAAGTGGCGTTGGCGTGCGCGTTGTATCATAAGGTCTGTCATTGAGTCAACTGGCGTGGTTTCGATTCCTAGGTTGTAGGGTGGCCTGTCCAACCTCGTGGATTTTTCAAATAAAAATTGAACCATATTTAGTCCCGTTACCCCCCCCCCTCTCTCCCTCTTTCTCTCTCTCTCTCTCTCGGAGTATATACTTTTACTCTTAGATCGCATTTTGAACGCGATACCTGTAAAAATAATCCGTTCAACCCGATTTCATTTCCGAAAGACTAAAGTGTCATTGTACAATCACATGTATTGATATTTCAAATCACTTGCCGAGATCAAGTGTTGATTTAATCATTTACAATGAATTAAAAACAGTTATAGAAATAACACAGTGTTCAATAAAACATTCAACAAACCTGCGCGAGGGAGCCACGGTGGCTAAGTGGGTAGGACGCTAGCTCGCTAATCTGGAGATCGGGTGTCCAATCCCTGCATTTACCGAGAACGTTCATCGGAATTGTCCGACGTGGTTTCCCCTTTTCAGTGGTACAGGAAGGATGGGACAAAAACGAGATCCCGTGTATACATTGGCGTGCACGTAAAAGACCCCTTAAAAATTGGAATTTGATATAAGTAGGCCATAGTGCCGATGCCCACATATCACACTGTATGGCGTATGCCTGTCTTCATTAGCCCAGTCAGATCAGAAGAGTAGGACGTTAAACCAAATTCCATTTCATTTCTATATTACCTAAAGTAAACGCGGACGTTAAACATTATTTACTACGTACATCCTCTGATAAACGCCTGGAGTTCACATAAAAGATTTATAGCCTAAGAATAAACAATGATGTATAACGTACTACAAGACAAACCGGTGGAAAATCACAGGAATCTTTCTCGACCAACACCGAGATATTGAGCCAGCGCCTTTAACGCTGAGCCACCATTTGGACGCATCCCCGGATCACCCAGCTAATCACCGAGCCACTACCTAAGATTTAGGGATTTTTCCATAACTGATAACAAAAACGTGGTATATTTACATTGTGTTAAACCCCTGTTACCCCTTCGTTCTGTTTTTACTCGAGTTGTGAACAGTTCTAATATAGGCCACCGTTACAAGGTCAAGTCATATGGAATTATATAACGACTGTTAACGGGGACATAGAGCGAGGCGTGGGGAGGTGAATCGTTATGGTATAAGTTACGATACTTATCACGTAGGCTTGTGTGTGCATGTATGGCTGCTTGGGTTAGATTTTCTACTGTGGATAGGAATTATGAACGTTGATTCTGTTCAGTGTAGGTTGATATCCGGGTGTATGGAAGTTTATTATATATGTAGTGGATACTAAGAAAGATTGGTACGTATATATATATATACTTACATACTTACAAATATACTATATTCTCTCTTAAGTAAAAACCTGATGTATTAAGACTACTTTATACAATAATACAATAGGGTTTAATGTATCGTCAACGCAATGCTTCGGCTATTTTGGGACTAACAGGTGTCTATGGGCATGTGCATTTTTTTTTACTAAGTGAACATGATTCTCAGGTTACCATTGCTCGGTTTATTTTTAGGAATGCAATCGAGGTTTAATTTAAAATTTATATACTCCATGTGTTGTGTCCCTTGATGACAGTAGCCTATTAGCTTGACGATATGGTAATAATTAGTAATAACTTGAATTGTTACAGAAACTAATAAACTATTATATAACATTATAAACCTATACTTCTAGATATATAAATTATTCGGCGATGACGTTGTTGAAGAGTATCGAGTCAATAAACAGAGAGGGAGGGGGGGGGGGGGGAGAGAGAGAGAGAGAGAGAGAGGGGGAGAGAGAGAGAGAGAGGGGGGTTTAACGCCTACTCGACACATACTAGGTCATTTCGAGACTAACATATTGTTTAATTTTATTTCAATAATTCGCTTGCGCGTAGGGGTCTTTATCAGTGGGAGGAAACCAGAGGACCCGGAGAAACCTACGAGGTTGGACAGGCGACCCTACTCCTTGTCACGTACAACCGGGGATTCTAAACCACGGCAGTTGACTCAATGACAGGCCTTATGATACAGCGCGCACGTGCTAACCATTCGGCCATTCACCCCCCAATAAAGAGAGACACATACTTTATAAATAAATGAAATGAAATGGGGGTTTAACGTCCTACTGTTCTGCTACGAACTGGGCTAATGAAGACGGAAATACGCCATACAGTGTGCTATGAGAGGAAATTTTCCCGAGCAGGGATCTTTTACGTGCATGCAAATGTATACACGGAACCTCGGTTTTTCGTCCCATCTGAACGACTAGACAGCTGTCGGGCCCTCCGTCCTGCACCACTGACAAGGGGAAACATTTTAAATAACAGAGACAAATTATAATAATTCCATTTCGTTTTATGCAAAATTGCAAACGCTGTTTATTCTTTTAAACCAACAGATATCTAGCCGATTAAAAACCTCTGTTCATATTCAGCAGACTCTATAAATCTTCACAATCCTAAAATCGTCTCTACTAAAAAAAAAAAAAAAAATGTCTAGCTTGTTAGACAGACGCCTTACAATTCTTAAACGCTATTAATTTCTAATTCTTATTACGCTAAAAAATAGTATCTATAATTGTAAAATCGTGTCTATAATATGATTTATAAAGTTTCATTTACTTAAAGCTGCAATGTCATATTTTTAAGTTATATTTTTAAAATTTATTAAAATAAAGCCTTAAAATAGATGTTATCTATAAACAGTCCTACCTTGTTAAAGAATAATCCTATTAACCCTGTAATTCACTATTGCCAGCTGAGAAATTGGCAAAAATATCATTTTCAACTTCAAATTCCAACGTTTGAAGGTAGCTAATGCATGGAGGCAATAGGAAAACAAGGGAGTTATTATTTCCTGTGTCAATGATTTTTAAGGGTGGGAAATAATGCCCATGGTCGTATAATAGTGAGTTGATAACCTATTGAGCAAAAGACATAGAAATAATTATGTTTTGACTTTCTTAGAAAATATGAAATTCTCGCTTTAAAGGGACATTATGGGAGATTAGATAAAGAGTTGACAGTTCTCACTATAATAGTTTTAAAGAAAAACAGAATACGGTGAAAATTTCAGTCAAATTGCTCCACTCTGAACCGAGATTGAATTTTAGGCCTAGCCTCGATCACCATTACTAAAGTCAATACGATATAAAAAATACAACGTTTCGATTATCCATTTTAACATTATAAAATGTATTCAAAGTCAATACGATATATAAAAAAAAACGTTTCGATTATCCATTTTAACATAATAAAATGTATTCAAATCCAGTAAATATCACAGGCTAGCGATGGCATCGAGAGTTGATTAATGTCTGGATAAGTTAATTAATGTCTAATTAATAATTTATATAACATTTAAGGCCTAAAGAAAGACCCGCATAATGTATGTTTAATTACTAAAGTGTCCTATACTGAGCTAGTGAAGGCGGACATGCGCCATACAGTGTGCTATGAGAAAAATTGTGTTTGTACAGCGGCGTTACTGCCTACTCTTATATAGAATTCAATGTTTTTTTTACGTGCACGTCAGTGTGTACCCCCCCCCCCCCCGTCCTACATCACTGACAAGTGGGAAACACGCCTATGAACTTTCTCGGCCAACGCAGTGGCCGAACACGGTACCTCCAGGTTAGCGAGCCAAAGTCTTACTCACTGAGCCACCCTAGTTGAAACTGAAAACGCTAGCCGCATAATGCTGCTTTTTCTTTCCTCGACATTTTAATTTTCATTTATATTTTATATAATACTAGCAGGACACCCGGCTTCGCTCGGGGGTCATAACTCCGAAACCGGAAGTGGTAGACTAACGCCACCTGGCCTATGTTACTCCCCGGTCCGAGCTACCCCTATACCCCAAATTTCAAACTCGGGGAAGACCTAGTGTAGCCCCCAACCCCGAACAGACAGACAGACAAACAGACAGACAAATGACAGTCACAAATATTAGTATAGATAGATATAGAGAATCTCCTACCAGTCTTTTTTGATATCAAAAAATATCATCACAAGTTGATAAAGTAACAAAAAACGATTCTCTGCCGAGTTGTTTTTACTTTATCAACGAGTGTTGATAGTTTTTGATATAAAAAAAGACAAGTAGGAGATTTTATTTATCACCCAATCCCTTCTTACATGCACAAATAGATAAATATAATTCTTTGCTGTAGCTTTCACTTTTACTGAACATTACGGCGTAGTGAAACATCATTTTTTGACAGCAATTCAACCATTGCAAAGTCCTGTATATTGACCCAGTGTTTCCATCAAGGTCAATTGAATAACAATAGTTCATTTTTAATAAAAAAAAAAAGTTACTTTTAATAAGAAATGAACTATTCTTTGAAAATAAAAAAAAGTAGTTCCTTTTCAACTGACCAATCAAATTCATGTAGAGCGATATCTCCTAAGGAGATATCGCAGTAGATTATGAAATATATCACACAAGCGATATCTACTGTAGAATGTATTATTGGGTGATAAATCATATTAACCCAAGTCAGTACATTATTTGACCTCTGTTGAGACTAAGTGATAATCTCATGTATATGTAAACATCGTAAATCTGTTAGTAGGTTGTAGAAGGTTTTACCTTATGTAAGCTTCTTATTATACAAGGGCCGGGTTAGCGACCTGCTTTTCTGTACCTATCGTGTACTCGTGATCTCGGTTATTTGCTCCCCACCTGAAGGCATCATCTCAACCCAAATCTCATGTTTACATACAGATGTTATTATACAAGGGCCGTGATTGCTGTTTTTTCGCCCCACCCGAAGGATCATAGCAACCCAGATCTCATGTTTATATAAAGATCAAAATTCTGTTAGCAGGTTGTAGTAAGTTTTATCCTTATGTAAGGTCGTCATTGTACAGGGGCCTGATCTGTTTTTGCTTTTTCACTCCACCCTAAGGACTAGACAATATTTCTTGCCCTGCATCATAGCAACCCAAATCTCATGTGTACATAAAGATCAAAATTCTGTTAGTAGGTTGTAAGTTTTATCCTTTTGTAATGTCGTCATAATACAGGGGCCTGATCTCATTTTGCTTTTGCACACCACCCGAAGGGCTAGACAATATTCCTTGTCACGCATCATATCAACCCAAATCTCACGTGTACATAAAGATCAAAATTTTTTAGTAGGTTAAGATCGTTATTATACAAGGGCCGTGATCGCGGTTTTTTGAACATCCGAAGGACTAGACAATATTTCTTGTCAGGCATCATATCAACCCATAACTCATATGTACATAAAGATCAAAATTATGTTAGTAGGTTGTAGGAAGTTTTATTCTTATGTAAGGTGGTTATTATACAAGGGGTGTTATTAGATTCTGAACCCAGGCAGAGTTACCCATGTAACAGTAATGGAGCCACGGTGGCTAAGTGGGTAAGGCGCTGGCTCGATGATCTGGAGGTCTCGAGTTCGATCCCTGCATTGGCCGAGAATGATCATCGGGATCTTCCAGCGTGGGTTCCCCTTGTCAGTGGTGCAGGACGAAGGGCCTGGCAAGGACAGCTGTCTAGTCGTTCGGATGGGACGTAAAACCGAGGTACAGTGTACACATTAGCGTGCTTGTAAAAGATATCGGAATTTGATATAAGAGTAGACCAAAGTGCCGCTGCCCTGACAAAATTTCCCTCATAGCACACTGTATGGCGTATGCCCGTCTTCATTAGCCCAGTCAGAGGATAACAGGAGGGCCCTAAACCCCATTTCATTTCATTTTAGTGGGGCTCAGGAAAGTTTAGTTAACGCGGGTCACATAAGGTTAAGTCAACAATAGTTCACCTTGGTGAATCCCTTATCGGTGTTATTTATTTTGTGGGGAAGGAGGGTATCGATGGGTCTATCGCTTGCGCTTTAGATCAGTGCCCCTGTCGGTCAAGTGTCGTGGTTGTACCATATGTTAGTACCGAAATGACCTAGTTTTTGTCGAGTTGACGTTGAACTATTCTTGGTGTATTTTTACACCGGTTTTACGTGGGCTTATGTCTGTCATTGAGTCAAGTGGCGTGGTTTCGAATCCCCGCTTGTACGTGACAAGGAGTAGGTCGCCTGTCCAACCTCGTGGGTTTTCATCTGGTCCTCCGCCCCCCCCCCCCCCACTGTTATAGACCCCTACGCGCTAGCGAATTATTGAAATAAAATTGAACCATATGTTAGTCCCGAAATGACTTAGTTTGTGTCGAGTAGACGTTAAACCCCACTTCTCTCTCACCGGTTTTTCTCAGCTATAATCTTGTACAATCTAAATATAGACAAACTAAATAACAGCACTTCTAATATCTCTGTCAAAGATGACTGCCTTCAACACATGCCGCCATATCACGCGGCGTTAATCATCGGCTCAATGGCGCGTGCATTGTTTACACAAGACGTTACGTTACATAAAAAAAAATGTTTTAGAATTTAATTTGTCGGAGGAAAAAAGTTCATATTTGTGGCTCATCCTTATCAGTGATTGTCGCGGCCTAGCGAATATTCACTGCTGATCAGTGTGCGGAGCAAGGGCAGCAACTCGAATTAGTCAGCATCTATCCACCACCACCCTGGTGTTTTGATTAGGTGACATTATTTATCACGTGTTCCTAGTATCCGAGCTATTTAAATCTTAACCATGCAAGAGTTGTTATATGCCTACAAACACATTCGACAAAAACTAGATCATTTCAAGACTAATATGTGGTTCACTTTTATGCCAATAATTCGCTCCAGCGTAGCTGTCTTTAGCAGTGGGAGGAAACCGGAGGACCCAGTGAAATACCACGAGGTTGGACAGGCGACCCTACTCCATGTCACGTATAACCGGGGAATCGAAACCACGCCATGACAAACCTTATGATACAGCGCACACGCGCTAACCATTCGGCCACCCAACCACCCCCCGCAAATGGTAGCTATTATTATATTTAAAAGCAGTGTTATAACCAACTAGCTTGAAACAACATTTTCAGCAGGGTCAGCTTTAATCGAAAGTAGATCTTTCTGATCATTTTTAATGAATCATTTCAGATCTTGCCTGTTAATCGAAGGCCAGTTCTGGTTTTGATCACTACCTTATTTGGAATTAAAATTTTGATCCTTATTTTGATGGGATATTTTCTGATCAAAATGAAGGCGACCATATCATTTAAAATTATTTTCCCAAATTACCAACTAGTATTATAAGGCCTACATTTAGTCTGTATACCACAATGGTTACGAAATAAATAAAAGAGTTCTTTTTATCCATTTCAGAATGGCGGTGGTTTATGTATTACTGGTTGTTCTGGTTACCCAGGCCTCTTGCCTTAAACCATGCAGGATGGAGGATGATGAATGCGTGTTCCATTTCGACCTTAATTATAATTTGACCATGGTGAAAGATAGAGATGCACTCTATCCCAAAGGTGGTAAATTATACAAATATGATATAATCAACACCACTAGTGCAACACCAGTCTCCATAGAAGGTGTTGCCACAGCGGATGGCTGGGAAGATTCACGTCTGGTTATATTAGTGAACGGACTCTTTCCAGGTCCGCAAATGGAGGTTTACGAAGGTCAAACGATAATTGTCCATGTTACGAATTCTTTAATGAGTGAAGCAGTGACTATACATTGGCACGGGTTGCATCAAAGGGGGACTCCTTGGATGGATGGAGTGGCTTTTATAACCCAGTGTCCAGTATTACCTGGGCAAAGCTTCACCTATCGCTTTAAAGCTAGACCCAAAGGAACGTTTTGGTACCATACTCATATAGGAGGCATCCGATCAATGGGCCCATATGGCGCGCTGATAATCAGAGAAAAGAAGCGTTTACGAGAGGAAGAATTCGTGTTCACAGTTACTGAATGGAACCATGATTGGGATTCTAATCTTCTGCAGACAAAGAGGCAAGAAGGGATGTATGCTGACCGACAACGAATCCGATCAACCCATTCTCTAGACGGTGCTGGGTACAGTTCATTTGGGTTTCATTCAGCATTAATAAACGGCAGAGGTAGATATTATGACCCTGACACAGGCAAAGATAACGAAGCCCCGCTAGAAGTATTTACCGTGACTCAAGATGCTCGTTTCGTGTTTCGAGTAATTTCTGTAGGTGTTGAACTTCCTTTCAGAATATCCATAGATAATCATGACTTGACAATTATTGCAACCGATGGCTATGACCTCCGACCATTCACGGCGGAATCATTTGTCATTAACCCCGGAGAACGGTACGATTTTAGAATACGAGCAGACAAGCCTGTGGACAATTATTGGATACGTGCCAAAACTCTTGAAGTCGGAGTTGATCATTTTGGATTAGCTATCCTAAGATACGAAGGAGCACCAGATACAGACCCAAACAGTTCGAGACAAACCTGCACGGATCGAAGTAAATGCGTGGTTGTGAATTGTCCCTTTTTGTTCTACCCTGAAGATGATAATATTGAGTGTGTTACGTTTGACCAACTTCGATCTAAAGATGGAGACCCTGCTCCTTCAGCACCAATTGGCAGAAAAGAAGAACACTTCCTAAACTTTGGTTTTGATGGAGTATCTGGATGGGTTGGCTCCGTAAACGGCAGAAGTTTTAAAATGCCACCAGTATCTGCGTTGACTCAACCCGACCAAATAGGTCTAAAGTGTGACGACGATTGTGGAGTGAAGAAATCATGTCAATGTCCGTATTCCTTAGATTTAGATCATGGCAAAACTTATCAAATAATATTCCTGAACATGGGTGACGGAAAGGGATATTCTCACCCAATTCATATGCACGGTCATTCTTATTACGTTTTAAAAATGGGCTATCCTCGGTACAGTGCCACGACAGGCAAATTAATTGGTGATAACCCGGATATCAATTGTAGGGAATCTTCCTGCAACGATGCAACATGGGCCGATCCGCATTGGCACGGGGACAACATACCGGGTCTTGAATTAAAGAACCCCCCGAGGAAAGATACCATTATTGTTCCCACTGGTGGTTACGTTGTGGTGAGAATCGTGGCCGATAATCCCGGATTATGGTTCATGCACTGCCACATGGAATTACACAGCATAATTGGAATGGCACTTGTCTTGAATATTTCTTTTCCACTGGTGCCACAACCTCCACCAGGGTTTCCCACGTGTGGTAATTTTCATTACAAAACCCCGGCCCCCAAAAATAAATATCTTATAGATAAAGATGACGAAGGTGCTGATGACCATCTAGGTAAGTTTGTATACTGACATTGATGAAATTACGCCCAGGGTGGCTAGTGGTTTTACACGTGCGCGTGAAACCACAAGGTCTGTCATTGAGTCAGGTGGCATGGTTTTAATTCCCCGCTTAAACGTGACAAGGAGAAGGGTCACCTTCCAACCTCGTGGGATTTCTACGGATCCTCCGATTTGCTCCCACTGCTAAAGACCCCTACGCATAAGCCCGAACTGATCTAGTTTATGTCATGTGGGCATTATCCCCCCTCTCTCTCCCTCTCTCTCCCTCTCTCTCTCTCTCTCTCTCTCTCTCTCTCTTTATTACGCCTCTGAAAAATCAGAGACGCACAAGGGGATCACGGTGGGTGAGACGCTGGCTCGCTAGCCTGGTGGACTTAGCATCCCTGGTGATATGTTTCGTTGCCTGGTAACCTATCTTGCACATAACTCTAACAAACCCCCAACCCCATGCATCTATCTGAAACTACTGGAACATCCGTTAAGCAGTCGTGGCGATCTTTTCATTTTGACGTTTGATTTCCGGGCACGGGGGTGGCGCGGTGGCTCAGTGAGTAAGGCACTGGGTTGTTAACTAGGAGGTCAGGGGTTCATTCCCGGTGTTGGTCAAGAGAGTCCCTCTAGAATTTCCGGCGTGTTTCCCCATATCTGTTGTGCAGGACGGAGGGCCTGCAAAACAGCAACAGTATCTGGTTGTTCGGATAGGACAGAAACCCAAGGTCCAGTATTGACATGGACATAAAATGACCCCTAACAGTTAGAATTCGAAATAAGAGTAGGCCACAGCACAATTGATTGCGTATACCCCTCTTCATTAAAGTTACAATTTCATATTTTTAAGTTATATTTGTAAAATGTATTAACATAAAGCTTAAAATAGATGGTATCTATAAACAGTTCTACTTTGTTAAAGAATAATCTATTAATCCTATAATTCACTATTGCCAGTTGAGAAATTGGCAAAAATATCATTTTCAACTTCAAATTCAAACGTTTGCAGATAACTATTCCATGGTGGGGAATAGAAAACAAGGGAGGTAATTCGGAGGTAATTGTGTTATTATTGACGGTGTGAAGATTTTTAAGCGTGAGAATGACACCTATGATCGTATAATAGTGAGTTGACAACCTATTGAGCAAAAGACATAAAAATAATTATGTTTTGACTTTCTTAGAAAATATGAAATTGTAACTTTAACCCTCAGTTCGTGACTTTTCATTTCTATATTTTCAGATGTACTCGACCACATCATGATCTTCCAGACTATCATCGGGTGTTTGGTGGTATTGGTGGGGATACAGTTCGTTCTGCTGGTCCATACATGTCGAAAAGCCTCAGCTAAACCACAGAACGAACTGTTACAACCACTGTTGCAATATAAGTGACCGCTATTACAGGCCTAAGCTTGTCGACGATAAGTGGACGTACAACTCTAGGAACGAACGAACAGGCCTAAGCTCTCGTGACATTTTCTCAACAGCTACCATTCCAAGAATTGCAAATAAAGCCGTTCATGATCTTGTTTTGAGGAACTTGTGATTTGTAAACCACAATAATATTGTGAAAGTTAAATCTCTGAAAGGAATAGGAGTATAAAAATGGTTCCATTGTGTTAAATATTGACAAAGAGATAAGGAATTGAAAATTTCATAATATTGGGGATCTTGTGCGGGCGATATAACAAACCAGTGCCACCTCCTATTAGTGTTAGATAAAATCGTTTGGTGGGCGTATCTACCGTTGATGGTTTGTTTTGGGTTTTTGATTAAAGGTTAACTAAGGAATTTTATTATATACCGTTCCGCCAGTTTAACGTGGATAAGGCTGTGAAAATTAAATAGTGCCCGAAAATTACAAATGGCAGTCCATGGATTTAATAGATAAGTTAGCTTATTTTAAAGATGCATTATGTAAGATCTAATTCTTTCTTTTGTTATATAAATTATTATTTAGAGTTTTAATGATTTATTCACATAACAAGCCTTTATCGCCCAATAATACATTCTACAGTAGATATCGCTTGTGTGATAAATTTCATAATCTACTGCGATATCTCCTTAGGAAACATCGCTTTACATGGATTTAATTGGTCAGTTAAAAAGGAATTACTTTTTTGTATATTTTTTTTATTAAAAGTTACTTCTTTCTTCTTAAAAGGGAACTATTTTTATTTAATTGACCTTGATGGAAACACTTGGTCAATGTAAAGGACTTTGCAATGGTTGAATTGCTATCAAAAAATGATGTATCACTACGCCGTTATGTAATCAGGTTCAGTAAAAGTTATATTACTTTATCAACTTGTGTTGATATTATTTGATATCAAAAAAGACTCGTAGGAGATTCTCTATTTAACAGCCGCGAGATTTAAACATTGCCCTTTGTTCAGTATGATAATAAAGAATCTACACTGCATCTTTAGACACTCGTATTGAAATTTGTGATATATTCATTTTTCATTATCTATTATAACTAGAACGGTTAGCTCTTTATTTAAAACTTACATAATGCATCTTTAATATGCAGCTTGTATTTTGGGAGAAGCTAGATCGGAGACGATCCTGCACATATGACGTCATATGAGGATTGTGGGTTAGGGTAAGGCTTGGTCCAGGCTTAGGGTTAGGGCTAGCGGTAGCCCAGTTTACATCTCGAGACTTTTGACGAAATCTGCAGGCCCTAATCCTTACCCTAACCCTTATCCTAACCCACAATCCACATATGGCCTCATAAAATGCGCAAGACCGTCTCCGATCTATCGTTTTCCCCATACTATTGACCAGGAACTGGATATGACGTCATTGTAGCCATCTTAGAATTGTGACGTCATATCAAAACTAGAATTCCGTCAATCGATGTGCAATTATCCAAGAAACAAGCATGCGCAGTTTCATGTCGATCGTACATGAATTGTCCGTGCGTTAAGGTTTTTTCGAGAGTGGCCCCACCCCCTCCCACCCCAAGTTCATCAATATCAAGATGAGTAGCAGTTTGGGATTTGTTCCTGGTCCCTAAAACCTCAGACCTAAAGATTTATGTTCATGATATATCCTAAGATTGGCGTGTGGGGCATTGGCGTTAGACCATAAGGCCTATCATTGAGACAAGTGGCGTGGTTTAGATACCCTGCTTCTACGTGGCAAGGACTATGGTTACCTTCCAACCTCATGGATTTTCTCCGGGTCCTTCGATTTCCTTGCTCAGCTAAACACCCCTACGCGCGAGCGCATTATTGAAATAAAACAAATGTTGTTCCCAAAATGACCTAGATTGTGTCGAGTGGACGTTAAACCTTTGACTCCCCCAATACCCAGCAGCTCTGACAAGAGGAAACAGGACTGAAATCGGGATCTAACTCGTAACTCCCTGGTCAGTGACACAACGCCATACTCACAAAAAAGGGATACTAAGCCTTAGCGTCGTCAACAGTCGTTTGGATGGAACGAAAAACCAAGGTCCCGTGTACACTTTGCGTGCATGTAAAAGGTCCCTTAGCAGTTGAAATTCGATATAAGAGTAGACCATAGTGCTGCTGCCAGGCCTCGAGTTCACAAAGCATTCTCAGACTTAAGTTGAGAATTTGCCCAACTTTCAATCACTGTTTATGAGAAATATCTTTGATCCAGAAACACAAAACTTTGCACATAGTTTCTTATTGATGTATTTGATGTATTTAGTTAAAATAAGGTGAGAGGGACAAAAGACGGGCTTTGCCTCATGGTTTTGGATTGTGCGCTCACTTGGGTTTTTGCGCCTCCTCGCAAATGGCAAAAATCACACAATTTCAATGCGATTTTCAACATTATAATCATAATGTTTAACCAGTATAAAACATATACCGTGGGTCAGATATGCCACAAATCGACTCTTTCATGTTTCACACAGTCCAATATTACCCGGTGGCACTGGGAGGGACTGCCACTGCACCCCGTTCCCCGCACACACATATAAATATTGTTTTTTGGGTGGCCCGGACGGGATCTTATTCCTCATACAAAATCATGGGTCATCATGTCCTTGTGCTCGATGACTCTATTCCCATCAAAATTGATGAGAAAGGAAAGAAGAAAGAATTGGGGTTTAACGTCCGCGTCTAACACATGGTTCAATTTTATTTCAATAATTTGCTTGCGCGTAGGGGTCTTTAGCAGTGGGAGGAAACCGGAGGACCCGAGGTTGGACAGGCTACTCTACTCCTTAGTGACGATAGATTAAACTCCAATTCCATTCCGTGAGCGGGGACGTGGTGACGATACATTAAACCCTTATTCCATTCCGTTTCCATTCCAGTCTATATTATTTATTCATCTCTTATACAATATTTTTCACGGTACATGATATCAACACCAACCGGAAGTCCACGAATCGCCATTTTGTTTAGCAATGGTATCTGCTTGTGGATCATCTGCCGGATACATGGCAGGAACCATGGATTTCCTGTATTGATTTATTTTGTCTGTTAGATTGGCTACGATATCAGGATTCTGGTCAGCTACGTCATAATATTCATAAGGATCATCTAAAACAACAGGTAAATACAGGATAACTGGCAAACAACGAATAAACAAAACAAACAGTACGGGACTGCAAACAAACATTATAGTATACAAAAACGTTAATAAAACCAAAGTTCACAAAGCAGTAATATGAAATAGGGTTTAACGCCCAACCTTTCTGTCTACAATCAAATCCAGTGACAAGAGGGATATCTGAGATCCATCACAAAAGATGATCGATAATTCCAGTGCTAGAATCCCACAAACGAAGTATTGGAATGAAGACCCCCCCCCCCCCAATTCCTCCCCCTCGTGTGCATTATAACGAATAAGATGATCGTTCATGACCACATGTTGATAAAGCTGGTCGATAAATTGTCCGCGGTTATGCTAGATTCCCACTATCACGATTCGTGCTACGATTGAAATGATGGTTTTTAATCGTGGAGTAATCGTGGTGATCCTATCAGGTCTTGTCATATATTGTGGTCAGTCGTAGCAATCGTGTTGAGCGTATCGAAACGTATCCGAACGTATGTGCACGTACGGTGACGTACCAGATCCCAGACTCAATAGGGAAATGAAATGAAATGAAATGGGGTTTAACGTCCTACTGTTCTGCTCCTAACTGGGCTAATGAAGACGGGCATACGCCATACAGTGTGCTATGAGGGAAATTTTGCCCGGACAGCGGCACTACGGCCTACTCTTATATCGAATTCTAACTGTCAAGGGATCTTTTACGTGCACTCCAATGTGTGCACTACGGCCTACTCTTATATCGAATTCTAACTGTCAAGGGATCTTTTACGTGCACGCCAATGTGTACACGGGACCTCGGTGTTTCGTCCCATCCGAACGATTAGACAACTGTTCTTGTCAGGCCCTCCGTCCTGCATCACTGACAAGGGGGAACCACGCCGGAAAATCTGAATGGACTTTCTCGACCAATGCAGGGATCGAACACCCGACCTCCAGGCTAGCGAGCCAGCGTCTTACCCACTTAGCCACCGTGATCCCCCAGACTCAATAGAGACACTCATATCGTAAGGCATCGCACGACAGTGGGAACCTGGCAGTAAACAAAAGGGTTTCAGTGTCACTGCGGTCCTTATTCTAGCTGTGAAATTCATTGATCCAGTTGATAGAATATTACCAGCGATATTAAATAACCTCGCAGGTTTATCACCAGACGCCCAAGTCATCTCGTAAAATGGCGTATCTTCCGTTTCATTCATTGGTTTATACCAGCCATCAAATGTCCCAGGATAACCCAATATTAACTTCCAATCACCAACTCTGAAATATTATAACCCAAGATTAACTTCATGTCACCAACTCTGAAATATAATACAACTTATACCAGTATAACCCAATATTAACTTTCAGCAGGACGGAGGGCCTGACAAGGACAGCTGTCTAGTCGTTCGGATGGGACGAAAAACCGAGGTCCCGTGTACACATTGGCGTGCACGTAAAAGATCCCATGGCAGTTGGAATTCGATATAAGAGTAGGCCGTAGCGCCGCTGCCCGGGCATAATTTCCCTCATAGCACACTGTATGGTGTATGCCCGTCTTCATTAGCCCAGGTTAGGAGCAGAACAGTAGGACGTGTGCTATGAGGGAAAATTTGCCCGGACAGCGGCACTACGGCCTACTCCCATATCAAATTCCAACTGTCAAAGGATCCCTGACAAGGGAGAACCACGCCGGAAAATCTGGATGAACTTTCTCGGCCAATGCAGGGATCGAACACTCGACGTCCAGGCTAGCGAGCCAGCGTCTTACCCACTTAGCCACCGTGATCCCCCTGCATGACTCATGGAATAAATCACGTGTGTGGCGAGCTGATGCTATCCACTCAAAATAACATAATAGATCCCTTTAATTCACTGGTTTATTTTTGATTTAAATCAACAGAAAGAAACACGGTACCTGATAGCAGCATGACCTTGTGTTGGAATATAAAAATCATCTAAATTATAAATAAATTCTCTTCTTCCAGATGCTAGATTCTGTCTTATAGAATCCCAGTGATTGATTCCATCAATGCCTGCAACTGTAATGTCCATGACTATTTTATCAATTTCTTTATGCGAATCCTCAGTAAATAGTATTGTCCCCCCACAGAATTACTTCACGATTTACACAAGAAAATGAAATGGGGTTTAACGTCCTACTGCTCCAACCTGGGCTAATGAAGGCGGGTATACGCGATACAGTGAGCTATGAGGGAAATTTTGCCCGGACAGCGGCACTACGGACTACTCTTATATCGAATTCCAACTGTCAAGGGATCTTTTACGTGCACGCCAATGTGAACACGGGACCTCGTGTTTTCGTACTATCCGAACGACTAGATAGCTGTCCGTGTCAGGCCCTCCGTCCTGCATCACTGACAAGGGGGAACCACACCGGAAAATCTGGATGAACTTTCTCGGCCAATGCAGGAATCGAACACCGACCTCCAGGCTAACGACTCAGCGTCTTACCCACTTCGCCACCGTGATCCCCCGATTTACACAAACTTTAAATGCAACACCATCTTGCTTTTCTACATCAAGTCATGCGACCTACACCACAGGGTGTGCTATGAGTGGTTCCTTTACGTGCACGTCAAATAGTACGTGTGTAACCTTCGGTATTTCGTCCCATCCGAACAACTACATACCCTATGCTTGCAATGCCATCAGTCCTGAACAACTTGCACTGCGAAACCAGATTGAAAGGAAGTTTCTAAGCCAGCACCGAGATCGAACTCTCGCCGTTCTGGTTAGTGAGTCAGGGTCATATGGTTTTATTTTTACTCACACGACCTCATCCTTACCTTGAGCATGTACCTGAAGCAACGACCGCCAGTTTTACAACATCTAGCCGTTGGTACATTAGTCTGAAATTCCTGAACTTATAGCTACGTTATCTCCCTTACCGCAGACGCGTGAACAGTAGCGTTGTGAAGTCAGAGGCCGTGGCACAAACAGACTCAAATCAAACATGGCGACCTCCACAGAAACCTTAACATTGACGGAACCTTAAATTTTGCAACTCAATTATCCCAAGTAGACATTTTAGCTGGAAAGCGCGAGACTGCTTTTCGCGATGATAGTTTCTGTCGAGGAATTTGAGAGGTCCCCAACTGGGTCAGCAGCCAATCAAAATTAGTGACGAAATATGCAGGGTATTACATAAACAATCTGATTAAAATACAGATCTATATTTTGTTTCTTTTTTATATACTTTCGATTGTCGACACTACATGAAAATCTGACCAGTTGTAGTGGAAGGTCGCTTCTAGTGTCATACGAGCGGCTTTTGACCTTATGAAGTCAGACATTGATTAATCAATCAGCGTCGACGTTTCTGGCGGTTTACCCACAGTTCCGTGCACACCACACCAAGAACTCACCGTAACAGACGGTTTCATTGGCTAATCCGTCACATCAGTCAGAACATGGGTAATATAACAACTCTTCCAGATCCTAGTGTAGTAAAGACAAGTAAAACGAAAATTTAAACTTTAAAAATCGAAACGAAATAGGATCTGTATTTTAATGAGATTATTACGTGAAGGGCTTAATAAGATGTACGTAGTTAAAGCGAGATTAAGCCTTCTATTGAAGATGTACCTTGAGGTGCTCCAGCTGCTCCTAATAAAGTAGGCATCCAATCCACACCGTGGATCAATCTAAAATAAGTAAACGGAACTCGATGAACTAAAACAATGGGGCTGTGTATGATTTTAATTTTGATAGTAAATAAAATGTCATTATCGGCTGTAGTAACAACCAGGCCCTAAGTTCACAAATAAAGCATTCTCAGACTTAAGTTAAGAATTTACTCAACCTTCAATCACTGTTTCTGAGAAATATCTTTGATCCAGAAACAAAAAAACTTTGCACATAGTTTCTTATTGATGTTTTTGATACATTAAAACAATAAACGTTCTATAAATGGCTATACTTTAGTTAAAATAAGGCGAACAATTTTGAGTAAATTTTTAACTTAAGCCTGAGAATGCTTTGTGAACTCGAGTACAATTTAAATTACAAAACCCTAGATGCCACCTGAAGAAGACAGAAATGAAATGGCATGAAATGGGGTTTAACGTCCTACTGTTCTGCTCCTATACCGGGCTAATGAAGACGGGCATACGCCATACAGTGTGCTATGAGGGAAATTTTACCCGGGCAGCGGCACTATCGCCTACTCTTATATCGAATTCCAACTGCCAAGGGATCTTTTACGTGCATTCCAATGTATACACAGGACCTCGGTTTTTCGTCTCATCCGAAGGACTAGACAGCTGTCCTTGTCAGGCATTTTAATAAATAAATGGGGTAAAGCGTCCTACTGTTTTTCACCAACTGGGATAATTAAAAAGGGCACACGCCATGAATTGTGCTATGAGGAACATTTCTTGAAGGATCACGGCGTTTCCGCTTACTTTTCGTCGAATTCCACCTGCCACGTGTACGTGAGAATTCGATTTTGTTGTCCAATCCGAACGACTGGGCTACGCACCTTATCAGGCGCAAATGCAGACGAAGAAGGTATGTGTCATAGTTTGTAGAGATAATCGTGTATTATATGTGTAATATACATACCCTGTATATTTGATACCTGTTTGTTGTAAACCAACTCCCGCCATAAATGACGTAACACGTGTTCCTCCTTCCCACAAACTATGTTTACTTCCTCGTAAGGGATAATTGTTACCGTAATTGATAGGTTCAGCGCCATTCTAAAATAAAAATCAAAATGAAATGGGGATTAACGTAATACTTTTCTGCTCCGACTGGGCTAATGAAGACGGACATACGCCATACATTGTACCATGAGGGAAATTTTGCCCGGACAATGGCACTGCGACCAACTCTTATATCGAATTCAGCTGTCAAGGGATCTGTTACGTGCACGCCAATGTGTACACGGGACCTTGGTTTTTTGTCCCATCCGAACGACTAGACAGCCGTTCTGCTGTAACGCATCAACCGGTAATATGAAGAGTTATATACACCATGGAATGTACTGTGAGGGTAATTTTGCCTGGAGGGCGACGTGTTCACCTTCTCTTCGTCCAATTCTACAATGGTTACACAATGCTTTACTCGAACTATTTTCTTCTCGAATAAAGGTTCCTGTCTCGGCGAACTTCGACATAACGGGATTAAACGAAACGTATGGTAAGTTTTATTTCTATGGTTACTTGTACAATGCGAAACAGGGGGATTTTGCCCATACAGTGGATAAAGGATGTATACTATTCAAAAAAAGTAGGGGATATTTGATTTTGGGGGCATAATACTAAAATATGCAAATGACTACGAAAAAAGTCACTATAGAACCTAACAGAAGAAACATTTCCAGTTACATGTGACGCCCAAACGCACCAATAGCTACCGCATGGAATGCAGGTGATGCTTGGGATCATCATGGGGGTCCAACCCAAGATTTGCACGACTCTGACTTTGAATGTTACAGTCATTGTGGCATTGAATTCCAGGGTGGAAACATCAGTTTAATTGTTTTAGTGACCAGAAAACAAATTTTGATATGCGTCGGCTTACCCAAAATGAAAGGTTACGTGCCCTTGGCATGCTACAGATCGGCACAACACAGGCGGTTGTGGCGCGGACGATGAATGTTTCTCAGTCTGTCATAAGCAGGCTATGGTCCAGATACCGTGATACACAATCTGTACAGGACAGACCACGCTCAGGTCGACCAAGGGCGACAACTCAAGCCCAGGATCGATTTATCCGTACCTTGGCCTTGAGAAATCGTGTCATCACAGCAAATCAGATCAGCGCTCGTCTTCAAACAGACACTGGTGTGAGAGTGAGTGGCCAGACGATTCGGAATCGACTGCATAGGGGTCACCTTCGCGCCTGACGTCCTCGCGTGATCCCTTGTTTGAGAGATCATCACATTCAGGCAAGACGTCGTTGGTGTAGGGATCGTCAACACTGGGATAATCGACGCTGGAGCAATGTGATGTTTTCAGATGAGTCAAGGTTCACTGTTGATTTTTTGGACAGACGTAGGAGGGTGTGGCGTCGTCGAAACGAGCGCTTCCAAGACGTTAACGTCATCAGACATGATCGATTTGGGGGTGGTTCTGTTATGGTGTGGGGAGGCATCACTGTTGCTGGAAGAACGGCTTTACATGTTGTTGCAGGGCGTGTTACAGGCCAGTACTACCGGGACAACATCTTGGCATCCATGTTGTGCCGTTCGCACGACGTCATGGCCGCCGTTTCATCTTCCAGGATGACAACGCAAGATGTCACAGGGCCAGGATCGTTACAGGTTACCTCCAACAACAGAACATCACCACATTACCTTGGCCAGCACTGAGTCCCGACCTCTCCCCCATCGAGCATGTCTGGGACATGCTTGGACAGAGGTTACGTCAACGTCAACAACGTCCTGCCAATGTCCAAGAACTTGCTGCTGCGTTGCAACAGGAATGGGACAATCTGGACCAAAATGACCTTAGACGTCTCATTAGGAGTATGCCACGTCGGATCAATGCTTGTTTGGCAAACAGAGGAGGATTTACCCGTTACTGACTTGGTTGTGATGCTGTGGTAACTTTGCTGTTTGACCCCGGGTATCATTTTACCCTTATAATGGTCAGTCTGTGCCTTACTTAGTCTAACGATCATTTGGAATAAATCGATTAATGTGAACTTCATTTCATTTTGTCATTTGTTTCTTCGTCAGTTTCATTAGGTGACTTTAATAACACTTAAAAATCAAATATCCCCTACTTTTTTTGAATAGTATAAATGTAATCGATTTTCGTACCTTCTGAACGACTCCCATATATCAGCCCTGCTAAGTGACTACTGGATTCTACTTAACGCAAAGGGGTGTGGGGAGGTGGATGGACGAATGGTTAGCGTGCTGTATCATAAGATCTGTCATTGAGTCAAGTGGCGTGGTTTAGATTCCCGATTGTACGTGACAAGGAGTAGGGTCGCCTTCAAATAAAATTAAACCATATGTTAGTCCCAAAATGACCTAGTTTGTGTTGAGTGGACGTTAAACCCCATTACTCTCTCTTTTTTGTCTTAACGTAAGCAGGGATTCACACTCGGGATTCTCTCCCCGGACTATCACAACCCCCTCAACTATAAAACATATTGATAATATACTTACGTCAGCAGTTAATAGTATTAGAGTATCATTATACATTCCCTCGTCTATCAATGTCTGTGTTATATTACCAATAGCTTCATCTAATATAGACACCATACCTATAATATAACATATTACCAATATAGACATCACATCTATAATATAACATATTACCAATAACCTCATCTAATATAGACACCATACCTATAATATAACATATTACCAATATAGACATCACATCTATAATATAACATATTACCAATATTCTCAACTAATATAGACACCATACCTATAATATAACATATTACCAATATAGACATCACATCTATAATATAACATATTACCAATATCCTCAACTAATATAGACACCATGCCTATAATATAACATATTACCAATACTTCATCTAAAATAGACACCATACCTATCGTAAAATACATATAGCAGTCATAGTTCCATATCTTAATCCTCAAAAAAAACGAAGGTCGAGCATCCATCCCCTTCTACCGCTTAAAGTCAACATCTACATTATGTATTGTCTTGCCCATCAACCCACCTGATAAGATCTTTCTTCCTAGATTCATTACATGTGGATACATGTCCGAGTACTTTTTGGGTACCTGGAAAGAAATGTAAAATTTGGTGTTTGAGGAATGTAAATGTAAAAGTTGGCAAAACTTGTACCTCTTCCCCCCCCCCACCCTTCCCCAACCATTACTGCTCCCGGGTTCATCAATCAGTTACACTCTGATATTGGTCAATAGCAGGGTTTGACGTCCTATAAAATAAAAAGAATCTTGGATTACTATATCGTTAAAGGTACAAGACAGATCGTTCACGTATTTCAAATCAATTTCCTCCAAACCAAGGCTTGGTTTATCATTTAAAGCGAGAATTTCATATTTTCTAAGAAAGTCAAAACATAATTCTTTCTATGTCTTTTGCTCAATAGGTTGTCAACTTACTATATTATATGATCATAGGTTATCTTTCTCACACTTAAAAACCTTGACCCCCGGAAATAATAACACAATTACCTCCCTTGTTTTTCTATTCTCCCCATGGAATAGCTATCGTCAAACGTTTGAATTTGAAGTTGAAAATGATATTTTTGCCAATTTCTCACCTGGCAATAGTGAATTATAGGATCAATAGGATTATTCTTTAACAAGGTAGGGCTATTTATAAATACCATCTATTTAAGGCTTTATTTTGATAAATTTTAAAATATAATTAAATATAGCTTAAAAATATGAAATTGCAACTTTAAAACGTTATAGTAAACCTACCTCTACGGGTCCGTGTGGATTTTGAAAAGCTAAATACATAAAGAGTGGTTTTTCTTTATCATGTTTTCTGATGATTTGTTGAGCTCTATCAGCGAAGAAAAACTGTTAATAGACAAAAACTTTCCATAGACAAAAGACAACAACTGTTCATAGATTCAAACTTTTATGGACAAAAAGGGGGGTTGGATGGTTGAATGGTTAGCGTGAGCGCGCTGTATCATAAAATCTGTCATTGGGTCAACTGGTGGCGTGGTTTCGATTTCCCGGTTGGACGTGACAAGCAGTAGCGTCGCCTGTCCAACCTCGTGGGTTTTCTCCTGGTCCTCCGGTTTCCCCACACTACTAAAGACCTCTACGCGCAAGTGAATTATTGGAATAAAATTAAACCATATGTTAGTCCTGAAATGACCTAGTTTGTGTGGAGTGGACGTTAAACCCCATTTCTCTCTCTCTATCTCTCTCTCTCTCTCTCTCTCTCGTTGGCTAAATGAATGGAGCAGCAAGCTCAGTTCACGAAAATTGATCACAAATCAACACATCAAATTTAATTCAATCGACACCTTTATATATTTTTGTAACCAATTTTTAATATGTTGTTTTGGCTCACAAACCAAGACTTCCAGGAATCAATTCCCGTGTTTGACTAGAAGACTCCTTTCCCCTTCTCAGGGGTCAGGAAAATTACATTCGGGTGGTACAAAAAAACAATGATTTCGTGCATACCATTTAGGCTAGTTAATGTTCCCATGGCAGTTGGGAAACAAAATAAGGTAGACCGTAGTAGAGCAGCTGTCAAAGCCAAATTTACGTCATAGCACACTGTATGACGTATGGCAAATTGAAAGACGGTTAGACCTTACCGCTGAATATTGTCCTATATATTCTACTGCTGCACGTTCATCGTCATGGAGATCAAAGAATTCACCTGAAACATATAAAAACCTCGTCACCCTACTACTTATCCCTATTCTGAAATATTCATCAAATTCTGAAAGGAAATGTTATTAGTTTTCCCCTCGATGTAATCTTTACAAACCTCTGATTATTGAAGAATGGCGTGCTGTGTGAAGAAGGTGTTAACATGTTATGTTGTATGACCAGTCGCGAATCCAAGGAACCGGGAGGGGGGGGGCATCCGGCGGTGGCGGTGGCGAACAATTGTTTGTCCCATATATTCTCGCGGGAAAGGAGAATAAAAATATTTAAAAATGGTAGTGTTTCCCCGTCGTAATTTACTCCGAAATGAGCCGGTTGATTGGTTGATTGCCCGTCAGTCCGCCCACCGAGGGCCGGGCTTCGCACTCCCAACCAAGTGGGGGCAGCACGCCCCCCCCCCCCCTTCTGAAAATCCTGGATCCGCCCCTAATGACTGTCATATAATTGTTCGATCCTGTCGATCCAGTCTGTCTTATATGTTTAAATATGGGGTGCACTGTGTTCGTATATCACTCTGTTCGGTGATTAAACCGCAATCTACAATCTCGCCAGCAATCACGTGCCCTAAACTTATTTATATCTCAGCGGCCTTGAAGAAAATTGAGCTGGCCTTAACAAATAGATTTAGCATACCCTTACGTGAATATTCAAACAAGGGCAATAATCAAATTCAGGGGTAAATAATTCGTCTGAAAACACTTCTTAATTGGTAACTATAGTTACCTGCTTTATGCGTGTAGTAATCTTCTTTAGCATTATAATATCCGAGAAAGGAATCGAACCCTCGATACGTCGGAGTACAATTTAAATTACAAAACCCTAGATGCCACCTGAAGAAGACAGAAATGAAATGAAATGAAATGAAATGGGGTTTAACGTCCTACTGTTCTGCTCCGAACTGGGTTAATGAAGACGGGCATATGCCATGCAGTGTGTTATGAGTGAAATTTTGCCCGGACAGCGGTACTGCTCTTATATCGAATTCCAACTGTCAAGGGATCTTTTACATGCACGCCAATGTGTACACGGGACCTCGGGTTTTCGTCCCATCCGAACGACTAGACAGCTGTCCTTGTCGGGCCCTCCGCTAAAGAATACAAAACGGTCAATCGATATTGAGTGAGACAATGGGAGTCAGTGATTGTAGTTTATGCACGTGTATTTCCCAGGGGAACCGTGACTCGGTGAGAATGGTGTTGGCTCACTAACCAGCGGGGCCAGGCTTAAAACCGGGTGTTGGCAGAGAAGGTAACTTTTAATTCTTCGGTCTGGTTTCCCCCCGTGTCAGGGGTATAGGATTGATGACCTGGTCTAGTCGTGTTCGAATTGTACGAAATTATTCGAATTGCATGTGTGTGAAATAACTTTAGATATTTTAAGCCTGTGAGGAAATGTCACTGCCAGGGCTACATTTGTCTAGTAGTAAACTGCATGGCGTATGTCCATCTTCATTATCCCGGTTACAAACCAATAGTACTTACTTGCCGATAGCATATGCAAAATACACAACTTACTTGCCGTTAGCGTGTCTAGAATGCACAACTCACTTGCCGATGGCGTGGGTAAAATGCACAATTTGATCGCCGGTAGCGTGTGTCGAATAGTTAACCGTTGGTGTGGGTAGAATGGCTAACTTATTTGCCGATAGCGTGTATAGAACTACTGGGCTAATGAAGACGGGCATCCGCCATACACTTGCTATGAGGGAAATTTTGCCCGGGCAGCGGCACAACCGCTACTCCTATATCCTCGATTTTCGTCCCATCCGTCCTGCATCACTGACAAGGGAGAACCACGCCGAAAAATCTGGATGAACGTTCTCGGCCAATACAAGGATCGAACACACGACCTCCAGGCTAGCGAGCCAGCGTCTTACCCACTTAGTCACCGTGATCCCCCAATAGCACGAAACAACTTACTTGCCAATAGCGTGGGTGGAATAACCAACTTGTTTCATATGTTGGGGTAGAGTTTTTATATCTAAAGGCAGACAGACATTCTGTTTCGGTTGTATGACCACATGCTACAAGATATATATTATTATATATAAATACATTACTGACTTCCCGATCACGTGTTTTGATGGATCTCTACTTAATCCGATTGATTTTAAACTGATAAATTATCTAACGATATCTAATAAAATGTTAAAAGATAGATTATGGGAGATTTGATAACGACTTGGCCGTTCTCACTATAATAGTTAAAAACTAGATAACGTAAAGGCAATTTGCTGAAAATTTCATTCAAATTGATCCACTATGAACCGAGAACTAAGCGATTGAAATTGCCGCCTAGCCCCGATCATCATTACTAAAGTCAGTACGATAAACAGCATAGTCTCGATTATCCATTTAATCGTTAAATCGTTAAGGAAAGGTATGCAGTAAATCGGCTCATCATCGCAGGCTAGCGATGCCATCTAGGGTTGATTATGGTCTGAATAGGTTAATTAATGTCTAATTAATAATTTAGATAACATTTCAGGCCTAATGAAAGACCTGCAATAGACAGATTTAGCTCTTGCATAATGTATGTTTAACAAATTAATTTGCGTCCATTTTAGCTGGGACAAAGCCGTGAAAAATTTAATATTATCCAATCTGATTAAAATACAGATCTATATTTTGTTTCGGTTTTTTTATACTTTCAATGGCCAATACTACATGAAGATCTGACCAGCTGTAGTGGGAGGTCGCATCGGAGGTCTTACGAGCGGCTTTTGATCCTATGACGTCAGACATTTGATTAACCAATCAGTGTTGATGTTTCTAGTAGGTTACCCACAGTTCCATGCAACTCAAGCCAAAAGGCCGTTTTTTTGGCCAATCCCTCATATCATCCAGAACGCGGGTTATATAACAACTCTTCCAGATCCCAGTGTAGTAAAGACAAGTAAAACGAAATTTTGAACTATAAAAAACGAAACGAAATAGGATCTGTGTTTTGACCTGAATGAAAATGATGATAAGCAACTTTAAATAAAAGATGTTTTACTTGTAGTCCTGATTTAAACGGGTATATACCAGACATAAAAGCTGCTCGTGATCTATAAAATAAAATTAAATAATACAGTTTTTATTTAGATATACGTTATGGGAGATTAGATAAAGAGTTGACAGTTCTCGCTATCATAGTTAAAAAATAAAACAGGTAATGTAAAGGGAATATGCTGAAAATTTTAGGTCAAATTAGCGAATGAATTTTTGGGCCTAGTCTCGATCATCATTACTAAAGTCGGTGCGATAAAAAAACATAGTCTCGATTATCCTTTTTTTCATTTAATTATGAATGGAAGTCGAACAGCAAATCGGAACATAATCCAATAAACATCGCAGCCTAGCGATGCCACCTAGAGTTCATTGTGGTCTGGATAAGTTAATTAATGTCTAATTAATAATTTAGATAACATTTTAGGCCTAAAGAAAGACCTACAATAGGCAGATTTAGCTCTTGTCTAATGTATGTTTAACAGATAATGTGTTATTATTAGTCTCACTGAGTTGCGATACCTTATAAGGTCTGTCATTGGTTCAACTGTCATGGTTTCCATCCCAAGCTTCAATGTGAGAAGGGGTGTGGTCGCCTATCTGTCCTCATGGGGTTTCTCTGTGTCCCCCGGTTTCCTCACACTGCTAGAATAACTTTTCCCCTCAATCAAATGATTAAAATAAAATTGTACCATATGTTAGTCCCGAAATCACCTAGTTTGCGTCGAGTGGACGTCCCTCGCCCCATCCCCTCTCTCTCACATTGTCAAGGAAGCTATTTCAATAGATGTTTCTATTATGGCATCTGCTCTGTACCACAGTTATCCGGCGTGGTTCCCCTTGTCAGTGATGCAGGACGGAGGACCTGGCAAGGACAGTTGTCTAGTCGTTCGGAAGGGACGAAAAACCGGGGTCCCGTATACACATTTGCGTGCACGTAAAAGATCCCTTGACAGTTGGGATTCGATATAAGAGTAGGCCGTAGTGCCGATGTCCGGGCAAAATTTCCCTCACAGCATACTGTATGGCGTATGCCCGTCTTCATTAGCCCAGTTCAGAGCATAACAGTAGGACGTTAAACCCCATTTCATTTCATTTCATTTCTGTACCACAGTTAAGCCACTCACCTGTTCCATACGTTATAAATAGTAGTGTGTTTGTCAGGTAATTACGGAGAGAGGGAGAAATGGGGCTTAACGTCCACTCGACACAAACTAGGTCATTTCGGGACTAACATATTGTTCAATTTTATTTCAATAATTCGCCTGCGCGTAGGGGTTTTTATTTAGCAGTGGGAGGAAACCGAAGGACTCGGAGAAAACCCACGAGGTTGGATAGGCGACTCTACTCCTTGTTACGTACAACCGGGGAATCGAAACCACGCCAGTTGACTTAATGACAGACCAAATGATGCAGCATGCATGCGCTCACCATTCGGCCCCTCAAGCCACCAAGGTACTTACGGGCTGCATACTGGTAAAACGTAGGCCGATTCAAATATAACACCTTGATTGGCCAATTTGTCCATATTTGGTGTTATCATATCTGGATTTCTAAAACCAATGTCGTTCCATCCTATAATGTAAAGCATAGTTTGCCAGACAACGAAATATATACCCACAAGTAGCTTATACCCTCGTCAGACCGTGGTGGCGTCCTTACTTCGCTGCTACGGCGATGGAAAATGGTATTAGAGCGCGTTAAGATCGTCATAAGCGTGGTGGAAACGTCAGCTATCATGCTGTGGTCACCATGGTCGCAAATGATCGCCGAGTCACGGCGTTTATTTTGAGTATTTGCAAAACAAACGCCAAGGTTCTGCGATCTAAACTGGAAAGCTATGAGAATACGACTTTTTTCAAGTTTGTAATTTTGTTTGTTCACGTTTGCCGGCGACCTTGTGTATTTTCTGGTAGCCGTACGGTCTCAGCAGCGCAGTAAGGACGTCATCCCGGTCTGACGGGGGCATTAGCGAGCCGCTAAGTATACAGCATTATATATACAGTATAACGTTATACCCCGAAGAAATATCTTAGCCAACAATGGGAGCGAACTCGGGTCCTCCTGTCTTACGCATTGAACCACCACGACCCCTACACTCATTTGAATAACGTCCACAAACTCAGGAACTCTGTATTTCAAAGGTTTGAACGTAAACAGATAGATAAATAGGATGTATTTAATTTGTTTCCCTTACGATCCATCAAGAAACTTGGTTAAACCTGCATTATGCAAGAGCTAAATCTGCATGTTGCAGATCTTTCTTTAGGCCTGAAATCTTGTATAAACTATTAATTAGATATTTATTAACATGACAAGGCCATAATCAACCCTCGGTATCATCGGGTGGCTCCGATTTTAATGATTTAATTTTAAAATGGAGAAGCTAGGCTAAGACTCAAATGACCAGTACGGTGGTTACGATCGATGCACACATATTGTCAAAACTCCAACCACTGATGATAACTTCGCTCGAAATAAAGTAATTTGAATGACATTTTCAATACATTAATTTTGCATTATCTATTTTTGAACTATTATAGCAAGAACGACCACCCCTTTATCTAAATCTTACATAATGTCCCTTTAATTTGAATAAAATCGGGCTTACCTAAATCATCGGCTACAATAAACAGAATATTTGGTTGCCTAGCAACAACACAGACAAACAATAGATACAAACCATATAAAGTCTTCATATTCATCTAGAAAATGTCTATATTTAATATTAAAACGTATTTTTCATCTCTGTGTTATTGATAAACAACTTTTTTGATAAAGATAGGAAAACCTTGAACCAGTTGATAACACATAGATAAGAGAGAGGGAGAGAGAGAGAGAGAGAGAGAGAGAGAGAGAGAGAGAGAGAGAGGAGAGAGAGAGAAAGAGAGGAGAGAGAGAGGGAGACAGAGAGAGAGAGAGGGAGAGAGAGAAGAGAGAGAGAGGGGGGGGGGGGAGAGAGAGAGAGAGAAGAGAGAGAGAAGAGAGAGAGAGAGAGAAAGAGAGAGAGAGAAGGGAGACAGAGAGAGAGAGAGAGAGAGAGAGAGAGGGAGAGAGAGAGAGAGAGAGAGGGAGACAGAGAGAGAGAGGGGGGAGAGAGAGAAGAGAGAGAGAGAGAGGGGGGGGAGAGAGAGAGAGAGAGAGAGAGGGAGAGAGAGAGAGAGAGGAGAGAGAGAGAGAGAGAGAGAGAGAGAGAGAGAGGGGGATACTGGAGGATCTGGAAATGAATAGGGGTTTAACGTCCTACTGTTCTGCTCCTAAACTGGGCTAATGAAGACGGGCATACGCCATACAGTGTGCTATGAGGGAAATTTTGCCCGGGCAGCGGCGCTACGACCTACTCTTATATCGAATTCCAACTGCCAAGGGATCTTTTACGTGCACGCCAATATGTACACAGGACCTCGGTTTTTCGTCCCATTCGAACGACTAGACAGCTGTCCTTGTCAGGCCCTTCGTCCTGCATCACTGACAAGGAGAAACCACGCCGGAAAATCTGGATGAACTTTCTCGGCCAATGCAGGGATCGAACACCCGACCTCAAGGCTAGCGAGCTAGCGTCTTACCCACTTAGCCACGCGGAGGATCTGGAGAAAACCCACGAGGTTGGACAGGACTGGTGACCCAATTTCTTGTCAGGTAGAACCTGGGAATCGAAACCACGCCACCTGACATTGATAAGATGGTTAAAAAATAATATTAAAGATACATTATGTAAGAGCTTAAAGGGCACCTTAAAATAGACGAAATTAGGTCTAAAAGCACATATTAATGTCATATAAAGTGATTTATGTTTTGTTTTTTTTTCTTTTTTTTTTAAGGGACCTGGAGAAAACCCACGAGGTTGGACAGGTGAACCTACTCCTTGTCACGTACAGGCGGGGAATCGAAACCACGCTAGTTGACTCAATGACAGACCTTATGAATCAATGCACACGCGCTAACCATTCGGTCATCCACCCCACCCAAATGTATGATACATTTCTTCAGATACGTAATTAACTTTGAGTTTTCAAATGACAATTCTTCCCATATAATTCCACGCTATTTCCAGGTGTCTGGATAGCCATGTCGTCATATTTTTATACGGCGGCGTGGTCACTCGCGTACATGAACGGTGGGAGAAATGTTACTACTGGTCTGAATCCTTATTAACTTTAGAAGAGTACTCTCCCCTGAGTTACATCACGACGATTACGAACTCTTAAATAAGTTATATATGGTCCATGTAATCAGTTTTGTGCCAAATTGTTTTGTAGCAAAAGTACTTTTGATTGTGTATGACCTTAAACTACATTTTTAATCTGGCATTTTGGGGCTTTAACAACAAATCAACATGATATACACACTAACAAATAAAAATCAGATTCCCAGATAAGGTCATAAGATCTGAAACTGAATCAAGTGGCATAGTTTCGATTCCCGGTTTGTACGTGACAAGGAATATGTTAGCACGCTGACGCACGTCCGTCTTTATTAGCCAAGTCAGTGCAGGGTGGGCGGCCGTTAAACCCCAATTCATTTCCCTGTCGCGTATATAGTAAAATGCTTTAAAATATCCTTCAAAGGGTGAATTCACACAAGTCTTCCGTCTGATTTCAAGTTTTTATTCGACTTTCTGTAAAACTTTTTAATTATAGTTAATAGGTTAATCTATTTGTACTCGGGGTGTTATAAGTTACAGGAAATAAAATTAATCTATCCAATAGTTGACCGTGGTGGTTGTCCTTTAAACATCGTCACAATGGCAAGGGTATTAAAAAAAACTACGAGTGATACCTTGACCGTGTTAGCCGACTCTATTCTACACAGGGTTAAAAAGTATGTCCACAGATTAAGATTAGTTAAGACGACCCTACACGTAACAAATCAAGTTGGGATTAAAAAATGACAGTGTGCTGTGTATTGGAGCTACAGCTACTCTTATTTTGATCTGTATTTCCTTTCTTTTTTTTATAATTTCGTTGGCCTCTAATACATGAAGATCTGATCGGTCGTAGTGGAAGGTCGCGTCAGAGGATATACGAGCGGCTTTTGGCCCTATGACGTCAGACAGTTGATTAACCAATCAGTGTTGATGTTTCTAGTGGGTTACCCTATGTTCCGCGCACCTCACGCCAAAAACTCGCCGTAACAGACCGTTTCATTGGTTAATCCCTCACATCATCCAGAACGCGGGTTATATAACAACTCTTCCACATCCTAGAGTAGTAAAGACAAATAAAACGTAAGACGAAATTTTGAACTATAAAATATGAAACAAAATAGGATCCGCGTTTTAATTAGATTGTTTTGAATTCCAGCTGTCATTGCACGCTAACTTGTGTACGGGGCCTCGGTGTGGCGTCCCACCCGAACAACTAGGCATTGTCCCCTGCCAGGTCATCCGGACAGCACCAATGACAAAGGGAAATCCCTATTGGTACAGGGGGGGGGGGAATGGCCGAATGGTTAGCACGTGCGTGCTGTATCATAAAATCTGTCATTGGGTCAACTGGTGGCGTGGTTTCGATCGGTTGTACGTGACAAGGAGTAGCGTCGCCTGTCTAACCTCGTGGGTTTTCTCCGGGCCCTCCGGTTTCCTCCCACTGCTAAAGACCCCTACGCGAAAGCGAATTATTGAAATAAATTGAACCATATGTTAGTCCCGGAATGACCTAGTTTGTGTCCAGTGGAGGTTAAACCCATCTCTCTCTCTCCCTCTCTCTCTCTCTCTCTCTCTCTCTCCCTATTGGCACATTTACGTCACTAAGATTAACATTTTTTATCCGCGAATAAACTGTGGGTAATAATTATGAATACATTGGAGTGCACGTAAAAGATCTCTTGGCAGTTGGAATTCGATATAAGAGTAGACCATAGTGCCGCTGTCCGGGCAAAATTGTCCTCATAGCACACTGTACGGCGTATGCCCGTCTTCATTAGCCCAGTGGGAGCAGGGGCTGTTTCACGAAATGTTAACTAAGATAAAAATCCAAATTTTAGTAATATGATTGGATAATATTAGATTGATTTTAATGCTTAGCCAATCAAAATTGAAGTATCTAGTAAAATTTGGATTTTATCTTTAGTTAAGATTTCGAGAAACAGTAGGACGTTAAACCCCATTTCATTTCATTATTTATTTTTTACTTTATTGCATTCAAGATAATTGCCCAAACCCAACTCATCAATCACAAAAGGCAGCTGTGATATGTATATAGCCCTGTAGACTTCCGTAGTTTCATATTGTACAATTATATTCATGGTCTGTTGATTCGAGTGTTAATTACCATGCTTGGTTGATCAGGGCTATATGATGAAAAACCCCTAATGATGTCACCAGCTTGTTATATTTGTAACGTAGATTTTAATGAGATGTTGGAACTTTGTGATTTATGTGGATCTGTCATCAGCATTATTTTATCTTGTAAATTGTATGAATAAATGAAATGGTGTTTAACGGCCCGTCAATACCAATCGGTCTGTACTCTACCAAACATGGTGAAACGTATGTTTACTTCTAGTGATGTTGTATGGTGCATTTTTGTCCATTTAGTGAATTTGGTGCTTCAGTTTATCTCGTAATCTAGATCCTTTAACATATCGTTCATGGGAAGAAAATGACTATTAAACATATATTAACGTCTGCTTCCACAAAAGTAATATCGTAGACAAAGTGTATGGAAGTCTATTATATATGTAGTGGATACTAAGAAAGATTGGTACGTATAATATCTATATTCTCTATTAAACATACATTATGCAAGAGCTAAATCTGCCTATTGCAGGTCTCCCTTAAGGCTTGAAATGTTATATAAACTATTAATTAGACATTAATTAACTCATCCAAACCATAATCAACTCTCGATGCCATTTTATATGTTGGATTTTCACTGGATTTGATTATTAAATCCAAAAATGGATAATGGAGACCGACTTTAGTAATGATAATCGAGGCTATGCTTGAAATTCAATGGCTAACATTTTCAGCATATTCCCTTTACATTATCTAGTTTTTAACTATTATAGAGAGAACTGTCAGCTCGTTATCTAATCTCCCATAATGTATCCTTAACGCTTTTACGAAAGTAACAAGTTTTGCTCCCAGACACTGGACAAAGTGGGGGAATTTTATCTCGGCAATATTTAAAAGGTATGTTTTAATTGTGCTGGATCCTGTCTGAATATCAATTACCGGAATCGCATCAATGGTTGTCTTGATGACAACTAAAGCGTTTAGTAGGTAACAGCCGGAGACAGATATTTCTGTTATTTTTACGTCACAACAAACAGGCGCTCATAACTATTATTCAATTGTGTTCGATACACAGGAAAATTTCTATTTTTGTCGAATACGTAAGGCATATTCTACCGAAATACGTAATAATCCTCATAACGAAAAATACTTACGGTCAGTATTAATCTGATTAAAACACAGATCCTATTTCGTTTCGTTTTTTTATAGTTCAAAATTTTGTTTTACTTGTCTTTACTGCATTAGAATCTGAAAGTGTTGTTATATAACCCGCGTTCGGGATGATGTGAGGGGTTAGCCGAATGGCTCAATGACAGACCTTATGATACAACGCGCACTCGCTAACCATTCGGCCATCTAACCCCTCTCACGGAGAATGTCGTTTGAAATTCAAGTGTCAACCTTAACAACAAAAATATATACAAATGACAAACTACTGATTTTAGATTTTAGTCCCCTTCT